ATATATTTTTCTCGGTATAAATAATTTCGTATAAACATTAAAAAATCACCACTTTTCATTACGGTAAAGTGACTTGTGCCACTTTCAAAATAAACGGCTCAATTGTAGAAGGTAGAATCGTGTATCGAACGTCGCATCGTTCCTTGATCGAAGCATCGGTCGAAAATGAATTTCAACGTTTAATGATTTTAATAGATTGTCCACGATGTGTGTTATGGTATTCGATTAAAAACACCGACCCGAGGATCTGCATTCTTGAAGCACGATTCAACCGAACTTTGAATATTTATGAAAATTGTCTGCGTGAATTGCAGGAATCAGAATTCAGCATCGAACGTTGCACCGTTCGTTGAAAGCATCGGTCGAAACTTGATTTCGGTTATTTAGCGATTTTGAAAAATTATGGACGATGTTGTGTTTTATATCCGAATGTTCTGGCTCGAAGATTTACATTCTCGAAAAGCGATTGAACCGAATCTTTATTATGCGTCAACTGCAGAAAACAGAATCGCGTCGGACGTTGCCTCGCGCATTCAGCAACCCGTCCAACATCTATTTCGGCTCTTAATCATTTTAATGAATCGACGGCGGTGTTATATTATTAGGCTGTTGCAATATTTTTGCTGTTAGGCGTTTCATCCAATTTGTTACAAAAACATCAAATTCGCTGTCCAGCCTTCGCGCGCGCTAGTATTTCTATTAAATAAAGCTGGCAAGTTGCGAAGAGACGAGCCAGCCAATTCCGACTCGATAGTACGCGTAATTTTGTTTAGCAAACAATGATGCGGTATTGCCTTTCAAAATCTCTCAATTTTGTCCGTATTTCGCTCCTTCCGTTCACGCTGTCCGCTAATATGGTTATACTTAACGTTCGACGTCCGATCATTTTAATGTCACTTTTAAATAATTATATACATCTAAATACATCTTAACGAACCTTCTGTATGGTTACACGCGAAAATATTGCTTGTCTATCGATAAATATTGTAGAATATTTTCTCCGTTTATAACAAATGGCTCCTTACCTTAATAAATATAATATATAAATATAAACACTCGATCTTATTAGTTTGGAAAAAGATACTTGGAAATATACTAAGCGCGGGGCAAGCAGACCATTTTGAATTGATAAACGTTATCCGACGTACAGGTTTCGAGAAAATCGAGTTTCAAAGACAGTCGCGCAGTAGATTTCGGAGGAGGGGAGAAGGTGAGTCATGCACAGACAGACAGACGACTTCTACTTGACGCCACGTGCGTCTAGCGAATTTTCATACACGATTTTCCCGGAAAGTAACAGTCGAATGACGAAACTTTGTGTCTGTATTTCTACCAGAGACTGTAAACACTATTGTTACAATCGTACAAGGTCGATTCTCCCACAGCACGATCGATTCGATCCGTCATATCAGAACCGTATTTGCATAATGTCATATTGTAAGAGAGGTGATCGTATTTTGCAATGGAAGAAAACGAGAGATGGTATTGTCAATATTCGAGGCCAATTTTTGAATAATTTTGACAAGTTAGAATGATTGCGTGAAACTCGATATTTATCGGTTCGAGAGACGCCCGAAACTTTGAGCATCCAAAAATCATCTGTCCGTAAACATTTATAACATAAAACATTCCCACAAAATCAAAAGAATTTGATCAATGAAAAACTGAAATTAGAAGGCTACAATTTATCATGGTGGATCGAATTGTAACTATTTCACCAGCTAAACATCCTAGTACAGTAATGTCTCCCTAACTGACGCTCGGATTGTCCACAAAAATGGACAATTTGGGAAGAGGAGATACGATCGTTCGAGCTTTGCAGCTCGTTTTTATAACTGTTGAAAATCGGTAACTATAAAAACGAATCGCAAGGCTCCTCTTCCCAAATTTTTGTGGACAATCTGGGCGTCAATTAGGGAGACATTAATGTACTATTCAGGAATATAGTAATATATTGCATATATATAATGTACAATATATGAATATAGTAATATATTGCATATACATAATGTACAATATATGAATATAGTAATATATTGCATAAACATAATGTACAATATATGAATATAGTATAAAAATGCATAATGTAGAATTACGTAATAACATATGGTAACACACGATAGTAAAATTTATCTTCGAAAACCAGTGAAAAATTAGTGTCGCCCGCGAGACCGACGCGATTCCCAACACGTTGAAAAAAGCCGAGCCCAGAAAACGGCGCTTTCTGAACGACCAAATGTTGCAAAGTTAAAGAAGAAGGAAAAGAAGATGTAAAAAGAATCGCTCGCTGACTCGCCACGTGGTCGTTACCAAAGAAGGGGCAAAAAGAACGCGGAGAGAACCAAAACAAAAGAAGTTGCATAGATTTGCATAGGCGTGTACTAAATTCTCGCTAGTTCCCGCCCGGAACATCCAACGTCAGAAAAGTCTGAGATCGTTAATATCTCGCAAACCGACATCGTTGATATCTAAGCGTGAACTGAAAAAACTGAAATTAACTAACGGCCGATATTTCCCTCGGCGTTCGAACGAAAGAAGCGAGTCGGGGTTCGACGATCGCGTCCTACGACGTTATAAAAATTCACTCGCGTCGTTCGCAGTGGCCGCAGCCCGGCGAAAAGGAGAAACGAGAAGAGGAGGGAACGGTGGAACGAGCGGGCCCGATAGCAAGCGCGAATAACGCGGCGAATCGATTTTAAATTGCCCTAAGACGGCCAAGGATCGGCCATCGGAGGGTCTCATTCGTTGTTGGACGTCGCGCCACGTCGGGAATCCGCGCGAAGGACGAGGCGAACGGGAATCGGACGATTTCTCGCGCCGAAAGGACGCTTCGCGACGATTTACGAGTCTATTAGCATGGTAATACGCGATTTACGCCCGGAGGAGCCTTGGCCGGGCGGGTATTTTTATTCTTCTCGTCTCCTCTCGGCCTAGCGCGAGAGCCTCTCCGCGGCTAAATTTGCGGAGGATCCTCGCAGGATCCCGATCCCGACGCGCAGATAAGCCGCGACGCGTTCCGAATCGAAAAATATCCTTTCTTCTTATTAAATTCCATCCGGGAGCGTTCGATCGGTCTCGGGACCCGAACAAAACGGTTCTTTGATACATTTGCCGGGAGAAGCCTGCGGGTGCCGCAGATTACCAGTCAAAGACCAGAGCCAGGGGTAGAGGACGCCATGGATCTCTCTCTCTCTCTCTCTCTCTCTCTCTCTCTCTCTTCAGCCTTCTCGCGGAGATTCCGAAGTGGAAGCGCCAGATAACCCGAGGAAAATCCTTTCGCTGAGATACGACCGAAAGTACTCGCCAAGTATTCGCGATAAGCGATGAAAAATTTCATTACGGGGAGAAAAAAAAGTGTGGTGTTGGATGGCGGAGAGCAGAGAGCAGAGAGAGAGAAATAGAAAGAGAGAGGGAGAGGGAGAGAGAGAGAGAGAAAAAGAGGAGGCGGGCTCGATAAAGCGGCCGACTGTGGCGTGCAAGGCAGACGGTACAGGGCAATTACAGGGTCAACGGGCCAAGGAAAACGTCGTCCAGATACTCTTGACTCGAGGTCATCGCCTTTGAGTACTAGCCAAAGAATTTTCGACCCCTCCTCTCCCGCAGCCGCCCCCACACGCTCGATCCTCTACCATCTCGCCAGGGTTCCTTCTCGGGACGGGACGAGAAAAACGAGGCAAAAATTCGCGGCCGACTAGTCCTTTCGCCTTCGTCTCGCATCGACCAACTTTATCTGCGTTTAATAGCCCCTAATGTTTAGAACGATGCGACTGATAACAAGTGGAATTTTAAGTGGGTCCCCGCCGGCATCGCCCGCCCGCAGAACATGTATACGTGTCCATCTTTCTCAACCAAAATACAATGCAATTTATGGAGCGCGCCTAATTCTCTGCTTTACAGAGCGACAAACTCTGTTCGGTATTTTAACCCTTTGCACTCTCGAAGCTATTTCAACTGAAAATATAAAATCATTTTTCTAACTTACAATATTTCTATTTTATACGAGAAAATGCATTTTATGCATATATGAAAATTGACTCTTGGGACTCGCGCAACAGTTACGCTCTTAACAATTTTTCAAATGTAAACTTCGTTGATATCAAAATTATTTTAAAAGCTGATATTACAAATATTAGCGGTGCCTCAAAGTCGCCACTCGAGTGCAAAGGGTTAACACTTCGGACGCCGTTGTCGCGTACACGTTCCTCGCGAAAATTACAATAAAAATCGACTTTTGCACCGTTTTTCAAGAAGTATGCAGTTATTAATAAAGTATGTCGTCATTGTTCTATTTAAAAAGTGTATCGTAATTGCGCTATTAAAAAAAGCGACACCTACACATGGTTAACATAATTGTTTGGAATTTAATTTAAAAGAATTATCTTTTACGCTGTGATCAATTACAATTTCTTAATTCGATTAAGATTCGCAGGAGATAAGAGTGTTGAAGAAGTAATTCGTGTATAACTTTGCTTTGCAATTTTAACTTAATTTTGCACGAAATACTTTGATTTTATGAAACTTTTGTAGGTCTTTGGCGCGGCCGTCAAAATGTGAACCGCGTTTCAAGCGGAGTATCGTTTTCGCAGGTTATTCAACGAAATTCTATCCCATCGTTTACACCGAACGGTTTCTCAAAGTGCGAAATCTTATTTCATTAATTTATACGAATTGTTTCAATATAACCTCGACTGTTCCTATTTCGCATGATCGCAACTTCTCACAGCAGTACAGAATATTTTTATTGGAACATTGACGTATTACCTGTCGCGATTCTATTAATAGGATCTCCGATGACTCTGTTATTTCTAAAAGAAGCTTAGCAATTGACTCTTGATCGACGTTGCCGCGAGATATCTTCGGAGATCGATCGGTTTGTTGCGAACAAAGTTGCAGCGATTGGCAAACAGATTTCCGGAAGGTCTTGCTTCGAACGGTCGCGGATCGAAACGGGAACGACGGAGACGCGTGGAAGTTCGATAGATCGACGGCGGGTGACTTACCAAGAGCTTCTCCCGGTCCAGATGCGGCAGATCGCTGCCCTTGATGTCCTTCGACGTGAAAACGTCCGCATAGCGGTACAGATTCAGGGCAGCCATCCATTCGACGACGTTCTGCGACGTCCACTCGCTCACGGGCTGTCGGCAGAGAAAACAGAGAACGAGATTGAGACACGGATGCTGCTGCGAGGAGGATTTTCCGGTCAAGTTCAGGTGCGAGGCGAACGAAAACTGTCGCGCGACAGAGGAGACTGCACTCCCGCGATGCATCGGGAAAGAGAGAACTCCCGCGTGCAGTGCTCGCGGATATGATTAATCGGCTACTTTTTTTTTCTCGCTGCGCGCGAACGGAATTACGTAATGATCCGGCAATCGGACGCCGCGAATTCCACGCCGATAAATCGCGATGACGCGCTGGCCGTTTAAAACGCTCGCACGTGCGCGAATAATTTGGTGCACTTCCTCCGGCCGATATGCGGACTCCTTGGAACGCGCTGTATATCTAACGAGCTCGAGAGTTCGCACGTGGATCGTTTGACAATATGACAAATAGAGATGCCGACAGGTTACGGCCAAAGTAATTACGATGTATTTTCCTTCTAGGTACCGGCACGATTCGCTTAAGCGCGCGTGCACGATGGATCATCGTGTTATTAGAAACGAGAGTTGAAAGTTCGTTCGGCACCGGTTCAAGGGGAAACGGCGGGTTATGCGCGGACACGAGAGACTGTACGGTAGCTTCGGGAACGAAACTCGAACCGAATTTTCTCGACAAAGTATGCTTTCGATGAAGAAATCAAACTGCAAGCTTTCGCGCGAAAGACGCATCGCAGCGTGCTTCGCGTCGCGCTCTGTGGTAGAAGTTTCCGGGAATTACTCGAACAAGTAGGTTCGGATAGGCGAACTTGGATCATCTTTTTAGAGTAGAGTAGTAGTTCGCAATTTTAAGCGTATCGAGTGATCCAACGTCGATAGTCTAAAGATTTTTCGAGAAGTATGGAGCAAGCAGATTTCGAATATTCTTGATCAAACATCGAACAATTGCAAACCTGTGACTCTTTATAATTTTCAGGTCGATGTTTCCAGGATACCGGGTGGCTCGGTTCAAATATATTACGCATTTCGTATCTACTATTCTAGGAAACTCTGCAGCAAGTGGATTTGGACATTCTTGACCGGACGTAAAAGATTCTCTAATCTGAGGCAGTCTTTGAATTTTCAGATCGATATTTCCAACAAACTAGATGATTCGAATATATTATATACAGTTGCCCACAAAAGTGTTCGTACACCTTTTAAAAGGCAATGATTATTTTAAAAATGGTCCAAGCGAATGAAATGAATTGAATTCTTTTAGCTGATAGCGAGAAAAATGTTATCGAAATCGATTCACGTTGTTATCAGTTACAACAAATTGAAGATCGCAAAAATCGCAATTTTATCACGATTTCGACCAAAAACTGGAAAAAATCTGTAGTTTTTTAAATCTTTCAACGCCTGTACCTCGTCTCTGGGCTAATCGATTTCGTTCAAATTTTTAACACGCATATAAGTTACCGAGATCTACGAAAGGCGCTTTTTAAATTTTTGTTATAGCTTCAGATAAAAAACTTAAAAATCGAGAGCTTTTTACTTTTTTTTTTATCATCCCAAGTAAACCAAAATTTAAAAAAGGCACTTTAGTCATCGTCTAGTAAACCAGTCCCCGTATCATCTAAAAAAAAGAAAATCAAGTCCCTTAGCCCAGTTTTAAAAATGTTATTACGTTTTGGAAGGTGTACGCGGACACTTTTGTGGACCACTATATCTTTTATCTATTATTCTAAGTAACTCCGGCGCGAGTAGATTTAGACATTCTCGATCAGACATCGAGGAATCGCAATCCCAGACTGCGGAATCCATTGGTACAATTTCAAGCAAAAAAAGATCGTTTCGATTTTCACTAAAGAACAGAGAATCTACAATGCAAAAATCGCACGAACCAATCATCGTAGCACTCGCACCGCTGCCCAACAACACATTATTTCCTAGCCGACGGTAGCAATCGGGTTTACAACTGAGGAATCTCGGCGCGGCGAAGTGGCATCGGATGAGTCACCCGGTATACTCGAGGCTAAAAGCCTATCGAACGGTGGCCGCTGGGAGACGATGCGGAATGGTGTACCTTAGGCAGGCACCGCCATTAAATCGAACCTGTTCCCGAAATCGGTGGACAACGGTTGCCGGAGAGTTGGTCGGTGAAAACGCGGGCCCAACGTCGTCCACCACGCGACCAGGGCCTCCGATTAGATAGCACTGGCACCGTGGAAAGAAGATGAGACGGTCGTGCGCGCGTCTAAGAGCGACGCCGCGCGAGTATATCGCGACGATAAAGCGAGAGGGTAAAAACCAACGGGGGAAAAAGAAAACGTAACCTTCTCTCGTAACCTTAAGTCTACGAACGTGACGACACGAGAGCGAAGATAAGGCCGAGAGAGCTCCGCGGCTTGGCCTGGCCTGGCTATCGCCGCTCCGCAAGAAACTCGAGCCGAAATCTCCCGCGACTATTCGCGCGCGGTTCGCTTCGAAGCGGGAACGGACGCGAGAAACGCCGTGGAAATTTCACTGGCGATCATGGGAAACGTACAATGGGGACAAAGCGCCGTGGAAACGCGGATCGTTCGACGCAGGGTGTTCACGCTTTGCTGCAGCGATCGAGAAGCTTCCGAAAATAATCGTTTCGAAGTGTTATAGATCGGTTCCGATTGACGCAGTTATGAAGAACAGAAGAGCTCTCATAACTGTTATATGATGTATCGGTTCTGGCTCACAGCGGCGTGAATAATTATAGACTCAAACATAACGAAACATCGTATTTGTATATATTTCTATATTCGAGATAATGGAAAGCAGAAATATGAATAAGAATGTAAACGGCACTTTCAGTTTGGAATTATTCATTTACGTGTATACACTTGACAAAATACCGTATCTGTAAATTTCTGTTTTCTGTTATTTCTAATTTATATATATATAAATATAAATATATATTTATTTTATAAGTTTTATAAATTTCTGTTTTCTATTATATATATATGTAATATATAATTTCTGTTTTATATATATATATATATAAAACAGAAAATT